GCGGCCATTTTATATTTATGACTGATAATTACATTCCTGGCCATCGCCATAGCAACCTTTGAAGTTTCATGCAACATGTTGCAAGTAAATAGAAAGGTTTTCTATTGTATGCAACATGTTGCAAGGGCTTGCAACTCAAAGAATATTCAAGAAACACGTTGCAACTTTTTGTATGCAACAGTGTTGCATACAAAAAGTTGCATAGTGTATGTTGGGCTTAACACATGAACGTTTACGAGCAGTCTTGCAAGCAAAGATTTAAGCAATGTGCAGTACAATGTACATACAGTGCTGCTTTTTCTTCACTTCTTAAACGACTGGCAACTCCATTGAAGCATCCAGACATATTGGCAGCTCCATTGTATGCTTGCCCTCTACAACGATTAAGTGACAAGTCACATCTCAGAAGAACATCCTTCAAAAAACTTGCCAATGAAGCACCGTCCATTTTTTCAACTGCCATCAAACCAACAGTCTTCATGAATATTGAATAAATTATCAACCCATCTTATTGAAACAGACAATTGCTCAATTCTACTAACATCTTGTGTCTCATCTGCAATAAGTGCATAGTAATTTGCACATTTTACATTAGCTATAACACCACGTAACAATTCATGAGCCATTATTTCAATCACCTCGTTAATGATTTCATGTGACATATATTTGCCAGAATGAACCCATTTCTTTAGGCCTTCCACATCTTCAGAACGACATAGCAAAAGCTGAACAAAGTTTCCCTTTTTCTCTACATGACCACGAAAAGGTAGACCCTGCTTTGAAAGCATTTGTATTAAGGACAAAGCCTTCAGCAACATTAGTCGTCTATGACTTTGATCCTTGCAAAGCTGCTGAGATAGTTGTGAGGCAACAGAGAGTCGATTTAGTGATTGTAGCTTCATTGTTGCTTGCAGATGAAGTTGACTCTTTTCATGTTCACGTAATCTTTGTTTGGCCTTCTTCCAATTGTCAAAGCCATTAATGCTATTAGCAATTGATTCATTCACTTTATAGCATACCACAACAGTATGGTTGTTTCTACCCAAAAGCTCATATACCAATCTCTTAAAACCACCGTCTTTTCAATCAGCACTATCAAAAAAATAATACGCCTTTGTAATAACTGGGACTGTTATCAGTTCTTTTTTTCCATTGTGACACCACTTCATTTGATCACACACACTTCCAGTTATCTAAAAAATATTAATTTGAATAATACACACCATTGGCATAAGAAATTGCTGTACATGCCACGTTCACTTATGTCTGAACGAACAAAAGCAAATATCCCCAGCTTTAAATTTTACTCGCAGTAGGCTACACACAGAGTATTCACTAGCATTTCTGTTAGCATTAAGTAACTCTATAACTTGGTAAGTCATGAAAAACTTTCTCAAAATCTGGTTAAACAGCCCAAGCGATACCCATAATCACATGTGCAACCACGTTGTGTCACACGGTATTATGCTCCTGCTAATTCTGCTAGTGTGTCCATATACTTGGTCAGCATTTCAGGCTCAGTCTGCCATTTTGGTCTGCATTTCAGACTTAGTTCGCCGGTTTATTCTGTGAATGGTCCAAATGGGTCCGTCCAGTCTACTTTTGA